AAAAAAAAAATTGGTTTGATAATTATATTAATTACGGTTACAAAACAATTAATGTAACCTACGGTTACAAAACAATTAATCCATTTCTGAAATTCGAATTAATTCTATATCGATACATTATAAGATCATTTTGAATTTAAGAAATTTGTTTATAACGGTATACCATATGATATTATTTAGACCATTGCAGCATTGACTGTCGACTAATAGATTATTATGCATCAACCTTGATGCACATAATACGAATTAAACCTAGATTGCACATGTGATTTTAATTATTCTCATAATACGAATTACTACGATAGATTACGATAGATCAAAATAAAGATCTAAATTAGTGCTTGAGCCGATCTAAGTGGTTATTAAGTATTATCGAAAATTCTGCAAATAAAAAAAAAATTAATAAGGAATATCAGCCCGGCTATCTCCGTTGCCTGTTTAAATATTAATATTTTATAATTGGTTAAGGGTAATAATATAATGTATCGCAAAAAATATCTATATATATAATTATATTGTTCTTTAAATTTATTTGTTAAAAGTTTTAGAACTACGAAAACAGGCGCTGTTGTAAATCTGGAGCGAATCAGAAAAAAATTGTCCAATCATTTATGAGATTGGTAACGTGGACGGACAATACTAGTAAAGTTTTGATAAGCCGATACAAAAAACGGTTTTGGATAAAAGTTTGTTGACCAACTGCACATTTTTGACTTATTGATTAAGGTACCTGAGAACATTCTGATCAATACTGTTAGATTGTAGGATTTTTTTTTGAATCCATATAGAGAAAATAATGTGTCACATTATTACCGGTTATTATTAGGTTTGGAAACAGTTGCTTTTTTACGTTTTATGGTAAAAAACAAGGAAACAAAAAGCAAAATAGGTGTCAGTGAAACAGCATTAACACAACATGAAAGTCTAATGCCAAGATTTTGGTGTCACCGGAATATTAAAATACCGTAGATTATTGTTACAACTGGATAATAGTACGTGACATTTTGGGTAATAATATTTCCAAATGTATTCTTCCTATGGATTTGAAAAGGTATTTTAATAAAGATAATGAAGATGATATGGTAAAAAATATACACTCTTCTGTTACAACTTTGAATTAACTATCTTATCATTTATGCTATTCATCCTATCGTTTCATTCAATAAAGATTAATAGTGATAGTGTCACCAAAAAAAAAAAATTGTCGAAGTCTATAAATGCAGACTTATTTATGTCACTAGTTACGGCTCAATTGTATTTTATTTTATAACCGATTTTTTATGTAGGACGTAACTGGAACGTAACTAGGTGATGATATAAGTCTGCATCTATATCAATTCACTGTATTAATAATATTTAATCATTAAAAATATACCTGTATATCGATATTAAAGAAGAAAAGGTTTATTCATATGGTTTAAATTTAGTCCAGATGGGCCGATACTTTTTTTGTGGCATTACTAAGCTTTTTTAGTGAAAATGGAAATGTGGCGGATACAAATATTCATCCCTTAGATGCACTTCGTCCTAAGATTTATACTTTACTCAAATTTATGAGGTCTTTGTTAAACTTTTATGAAAGAGCTCATTATATTTAGCTTCAATTTGTATAGTGTACTTGTTTCTTCTATGATAAAAACTTTTTTAAAAATAAACGTTTGTTCGTTATGTATATTTCCATAGATAAAAAATTTTTATGGTTAATGGTCTCAGTACAGTCAGCATAAACCAAACATTCTTTTGTTTTCTTTTTTTGAACTAATATTAATCTTCTTTTTGTAGGTTTGCTTTGCTAGAACACCAGGTTGTAGA